TCGCGACACACTAATTTACTGATACCTATTTTAATATAGTTAAGTGCCTGTTTCACCACCTTCATATAAGTACCCGATAAAGTTATGTGGTTCTATATTCAATGAGTATCGGGACATTGTGAAACAGGTCCTAAGGAAGCAACAGATTGCATGACAATTAACACTTTAATGAACTTGCGTTGCGATTAACGTGTAAATGAGCATGCCATGCGGTGGGACAGAACTTGCGTGAGGTGAGCGTGCACCTGATGCGGGAGAGCGCGGCGGGCGGGGGCGCGGGCGGGGGCGGGCGCGCGGGCGGGGCGGGCGTGGAGAGCGGCGTGCACGCGGTGGCGACGCGGTGGGCGGCGGCGCAGCTGGACGCGGCGCGCGCGCTGTGCCGCGCACTGGCGCGCCCGCTGGCCGCCGCGCCGCACCACCACCAGCAGCGCGGCTTCTCCTTCATGTACGACACCAGCTCGCACTACTCCCTGCTCCTGTCTGTTGCTTGTCGAGTTTTGGTTTTGTAGACAAGCTCGTGCCCGATCGGTTGGCCTCCTTACGCACTAGCGGTTGACCGCGCGGCTAGCCGCCCCTCGCGTTTCCGCAATGCAATCGCTATGGCAAGCATGTCAAGTGATACGAGCCGCCTAGACGGTGAATCACTAGTGCGTAAGGGGCTTAGATTCTCATTAATTCAAAAGGGTGATTCAAAAGTTGAATTGAAGCACCATTCAAGTCTATTTTCACCTTTAGGTACTGCATCATATTCCCTGTATGATCGTACACGATTTTGTCGGATCGCTGTGTTTTGTTCGGTTTTTTGGTTTTCGTTTTTGCTTCTGTCCTCCACTTACCTACTTATTAAAGTTTTACACAAGAGCTTAAGAAAAGAACTATTGTAAGTAGATAAAAGTGGAAAAGTTATGTTCGCAGCGTTGTTTCAGGTCAATTGGTTTCGTATTGTGTTGTTTTCTTTTTATTTTGTGTTTTTAATTGCTTAAACTTAGGCATTAGAGCTATGTTTTGGGCGTTATTTTGTAGTCTTTTTTTAATCCTAATTCGTTTGTTTTTTGTTCTAAACAAGGATCAAAGGTAAGAACTTGGCTAAATGGTTTGTACTAAAGTCAAGGAATCACCTCAACAAGGGTGCGTCATTACTTATCTATTATCATTTTAATCTCTAACTGTGTGAAAGGTCAAATATTCATCAAGTTTGAATTGCTATTTGTAATGACTACTTCAAGCCCATCATCCATTTTAAATTGGCTTTAACTTATTCATTGTCTATAATCACATTTTACATTCTGTTTTAACTAAACTTGTAAATATCATTAAGGAACCTTTACATGCATAAAACTGACATATATTTTTAACTTGCAGCGATGAGATGGACCCGACGCACGCGTTCATAGTGTTCAAAGTCCTGGAGCAGTATTACTTGGCGACGGACTCCATCGCGTTTCCCCTGCCGCAGGGGTTCAGTTCCTTCTTCACATACCTCGGCTACCGCACGCTACCATTCCACTCATTCGTCCAGTATGTACACCGCAATGTCTTCGAGCTGCAAATCGATGTTATGAAGGCTATTATTGCCTGTAAGTATTTTACTTTTAAATTAACTTTCTTTTCTTTACTTGTGTTATCACTTATTAGAGATATCACACATGGAAAATGTGCCCTCACTTACAAGTTTTTGTAGATTTTAGGTCAGCGAGTGTATAATAAACTCCAACAGGAATAAGTAGCACCTTTGTACTCTTATTTTATATATATGTTATCCTCTGTGCTGTTTGTGTGTACATAAATTATTAAATAAATAAATAAATAAAATTGGCTGAATATCTTTAGCGTTCCTAGTGTCTAAAATGGTGCCATATGAAATTTTGGTTATACGTATTGTTAGAATTAGGCTTTAGCGAAATCGATTTTAATGTTTGCATGAATATTTTATTTTATATAATTTAGTAATGCCTTTAGCCAAACGCTACTTTAGTACTTGTCTTTATAGAGAGTAGAAAACTAAATGTAAGGGGATAATACTGATAAGTGTCAGAATATACGTCAATTCCATATAATTTGGTTTTCTATTCTACATATAGACAAGCCCTAAATGGCATTTGCTACAGCTGCTGAAATCCATTTGGTTAGTAAACAAACAAGTTATAAAATTTGTGGTAGTACTTAAAATTACCAGTTACAATTAAAACATAACTATCTTACGCCAGAATAGCATGCAGGCGTATCCAATGCCCCAGTATGGGGCTGTCCCATTCAGGGTGCTGTTGATATATATTACCTATCTCCACGTTGTCCCCAGCTAAGGACGACGAGAACAAGACGGCGGTGAACAACAAGCTCCGACTGGTGCAGCTGGTGGGCGAGGCGCGCGCGCGGCGTGCGCTGGCGAGCTGGCCGCACCGCGCCGCCACGGCCCTGCGCGCGCGGGACCACGCGCACGCGCTGCTCACCGGCCGACACCCCGCCGCGCACGAACTGGCGCGACACCGCCCCGTCAAGGACACCGGTATATTAAACATTCTTTATGGGGGGAAATAATCACATTTCTTCTCTCGCCTGGGTGAGGCGGAAAAGAGTGTCAGACTCTTTACTGACTAAAAACAACCTACTACTTACATCTGCATTTCGAGCTGGTAACCTGCTACGTTCTCCGCAGCTCTGTATCGGCATCAGCCCTGTTGAGCCCGATCTGTGGTGGTTTGATGGCTCTTTGAAGCGCGCCGTACGCTCGGGTCTGGTTCTGGTCAAGCGGCGAGCTACCCATGCTCGCCGTCCGCAGGCCCGTGCTTATGGTGAACATTATAATTTACACTCTTATATTTTCATTAACACAACATCACGCCTTCCATCCCCGAAGGGGTAGGCAGAGGTGCACATTATGCCACTGTACAATGTAACCCCCACTTTTCACTATTTATGTAATGAGTCCCATGTAATAGGGGATGAGCCTATTGCCATATATCGGGCACAATTCCAGACTCCGTGCTACTGTGATTTTTTAGAAAAACCCAGTAATACTTTGTTCGGGAATCGAACCCGAGACCCCTTGCCCGGCAGTCGCACTTGCGACCACTCGGCCAATGAGGCAGTCAGTGAATTTAATTACGTAATATTAATTGTAGAAAGGATTATATGTGACCCAGACTCCGTGCTACTACTAAAAAACCCCAGTAATACTTTGCCGGACCCGGGAATCGAACCCGAGACCTCTTGCCCGGCAGTCGCACTTGCGACCACTCGGCCAATGAGGCAGTCAGTGAATTTAATTACGTAATATTAATTGTAGAAAGGATTATATGTGACCCAGACTCCGTGCTACTACTAAAAAACCCCAGTAATACTTTGCCGGACCCGGGAATCGAACCCGAGACCTCTTGCCCGGCAGTCGCACTTGCGACCACTCGGCCAATGAGGCAGTCAGTGAATTTAATTACGTAATATTAATTGTAGAAAGGATTATATGTGACCCAGACTCCGTGCTACTACTAAAAAACCCCAGTAATACTTTGCCGGACCCGGGAATCGAACCCGAGACCTCTTGCCCGGCAGTCGCACTTGCGACCACTCGGCCAACGAGGCAGTCTTATATTTTCATTTACAAAAAAAAGGCCTCCAAGCGAATTGCACGTTCATTTTCCTTCATAAGTCACTGCACTTATACATAGCTATTACATTGTATACCTCTGTCACTTTTGCTCTATCTCTCAGAATAGCGAACTGGCTAGTACGGACGTTGGCTCAGAAAGGCTTACTACCGAAAACCACTAAACAAGTCTTGATTATATGAACTCACACAACTTGTTGAGCTTTGGATGGCGAACTTAAGGTGCTTCAGCGTAACTACCGAATAAAGACAGCGGCGCTCATGCTACACATAAGCGTATTTTAATCTCAAAAGCGTATTAATTATTATTATGTTATTAAATATTTCAGGCATAGCAGCCCTACCCTCAGGGGAGCGCCTGTCTCCACTGGACACATTCCTGGACTTGTTGACAGCTAAGGCCAGTCTCAACGAATTGGACTTCAACCTCATCATTGAGGCCACACTGGCTTCAGTACAACAGGACACTGCGGCTTAATATTATGTTCTCTAGTGAATGTGCTTCTTGTAGTTGAATTTAGTCTTTTTACCAAAGAGTACATAATAGGTAAATAACTGCCCCAATTAGACCTGTGAGTATCACTAGCATTTTAATCTCTGTTATAGTCTCAATTTAAAAAAGCTTATGACTCAGGGCTGTCAATATTTTTATCACTTAGCACTTCCTTTTTGCAGTTTCACATTTACAAGGGTAGTTTTGTTTGTTGTTCCTATACACACATGTTTGCAGTATTTTTGGGGGTATTTTGATCTTTAACATTCCATTATTTAATATTTATTGGCTATAGGTGTAAGTTGGTGTATCAGAAGCACAAATTAATAATGTGTAATATTGGATTTGTGTCACTAGTCTCGATGTGCAATTTTTAGTGCAATATTTATTACCGATTTGTATTGAATAAAAACACTATTATAATAATATTGTATTTTATTTATATACCTAAACTTAATCTATACAATTAAATGAATCCTTTGGACACAACAGATTGCGGCAATTGCCACAATAGTGGACAAACATAAATTAACTACTTTTTCAGCATTTTTGACGTATTTCATCCATGTTTCTATGGACGAATCTGATGAATATTAACATACATTGTTATGTATGTTAACATCACGCCTTTTATCCCCGAAGGGATAGGCAGACGTGTACATTATACCACTGTACAATGTATTCACTATTTATGTTATGAGTCCCATGTAATAGGGGGTGAGCCTATTGCCATATACCGGGCACAATTCCAGACTCCGTGCTACTACTGTGAATTTTTTGAAAAACCTAGTAATACCCGACCGTATTGCCCGACCCGGGAATCGAACCCGAGACCCATTGCCCGGCAGTCGCACTTGCAACCACTCGGCCAATGAGGCAGTCAGTGAATTTAATTACGTAATATTAATTGTAGAAAGGATTATATGTGACCCAGTGGGCCCTCTGCTGATTCTTATCAGTTTTATGTGAAGTAAACAATGATTTGTACACTTCACTGGTTTGAGGATCCTTAGCTACACTGTAATCTTTCTTTGTCTTCTTGTATGATGGGTCCTGGGCCAGTTCTGTGGGGTGGACGCGCTTTGAAGATCCGAAATGTCCTCTCGCCTGCTTGTTAGGATTGTACTTGGGTAGAGACAATGGTATTGTTTCAATTTCCTTCTTCACTGCATTACTTGAGCCGGGTTCAGGCTCTGCTTCACTTTTAACATTTACGTCTTTCTCTGGTTGAACATCTGTGGAAACTTCAGTGGAGGTGGATGGTCTGGGAGTCAGAGGCTCTACCTTAACTTCAGCCTTTGGTGCTTTTTCTGCCTTTGATTTCTTACTACTTTTTCTGCTAGCAACACGCACAGTCATTTTTTCCTTCAGTTTTTCTATATCCTCGTCAGTTCCATTTAATGGTACTATATCATTATCTGTGAATGGTTGCTGACACTGGGGACAAAGGTAAAAGCAATAAATTAGACATGTTGTATTTGATAATTTAAGAAACGGGAGCAAGTTTATCAGTTGTGGCGTGGTAGCCTAATTTAACATAGATTGTGAGTTGATGCAGGCCACCATGAGCAAAATGACCTCAGACACTAATAAATCAATCATGAAATAGTAAAGGTCAATGATAGTAAATAAGTAGTATACAAGCTGTGAGAGATAACATTGTAGTAATAGGTCACTTTACACAGTGGAATATCACAATCACAAATTCACATATTGTTTATCTGGAGCTTTGGTAACAACTTTGGGGAATTAAGTAAGATCTGAAAGTAATAATATACTAGCTGACCCGGCAAACTTTGTACCACCTCATATTGTTTTTCTCACCAAATTATACCTTCTCTGGACTTCTACAAATATTTCAATACCAAAATTAGCCAAACTGGTTTAGCTGGTCTCTAAAACTAATGAACGAAAATTCAAAGAAAGATAATGCGGTAGAAGAATTCTAACCATTTAAGTACAAAGTGTTGCATATTCACTTTAGTAGTTACAATTGTAAAACCTTTTGAAGCTTACCATGTGACAGAGATTCTGTCTAACTTCTTTGAGTGCCCTTTCAGCGAGGACACAGCCACAGCTCCAGAGGAACACAAAGCGGAATTTGCCAGACATCTCCAGTCCACTGATGGGGCAGATGTAGGGGGCGTTGCCTTCACCCACTGCACCCTCGGTGTGATCAGCTGCTGTGTATGCAGGGTTTTTCACCAGTTTCAAGTCTTTAATGTCCTGAAAATGTATAGTAGTTATTAAGAAGTTTTCAAATAATAAATTTTAAATGTACTGAAAAGTACACTACAATGAAAGTCCTTTCGTAAAGGAAAATAATTCATAGGAATTTGGAACAGGCAAATAGCTGTCGTAGACCGCATCATTACTTACCACCAGGCAAGATAGTAGTCAAATGTCGGCCCATCAAATATATAAAAAAAACTTCACTAGAGGACTGACATTTTTTCATGATCAAAGTGCCTTCGTGGCAGCCAAATGCCACTTTACTGCTTGTCTACAGAGTAGAAATCAAAATGTATGGGGATGACACTAACAAGTGTCAAAATTTACGTCAATTCCATATAATTTGGTTTTCTATTCTACATGTAGACAAGCGCTAAGTGGCATTTGGCTACTCTTGAATCCAATTCCAATCAATTGACATTGATATTTTGATTTTTTTTACTTTTGAGAGTTGCGACACTAGCGCTCATTACATCCGTATTGCATGATGGATATTCAATGAACTATATAGTATTTGGGTTTATATTCTGTCATCTAAATGCTATTTTAACAGCTATGTTTGGGGTTGTATATGTTTGACATTGAATATTTATTGAGATTTTATTGAATTGAAATTGACACTCTGGTCTGATTGAAATTGACTTTGACTTATAACAATAAAACATTTTGTATTGTTTAACACATCATATTATTGTACATATTGACAAATACCTTAAGGTTTTTGATGTGGTTGATGGAGTCTGGCTTAGTTTCTTTGTCTAGCAACGTCTCAAGCACAGAACTTTTGCTGTACAGCCTTCCGAGGCCACAAGCCACCACAGGTTCTTGTAAAGGTTGTTGAGACAAAGCGCAGTTACGCCACTTGAACGATCGTTCTGCATCTTTATCTTTCTGTAAATATAAAGTAAAAACGGTCAGTGAATATCCTTAGGGACAAGAAATAAAAATTACAGTGATGTTTGTGAAATCGTTACATGTTGTTTATATAGACACGCTTACCTGTTCTGGCTTCTTCTTCATTCGCACAAGTTCATCTCGTCGAGGGATAGTACCACCATCGCAACCCATTTTGAGAAATCTTTAAGATTATTACAATAAATAACAATATATTGTGGCTTTCTAATCACTCACTGATGGCGATTATTGACAGAATGAATGACGTATTTGTTTTGACTTTTTCAGGATGACGCACCCAGTGTTGCCAACTCGAGTTTTGAAATAGATGCAACTAGAAGCAAATAAAAATCAAAGACCTTTTTTATTTATTAGTAAAAATACGTTATGTGTGATGCATATTGTTGGTCTTTTTCGTATGTGAGTGTCACACGTCTTTTTGTTTATTTTTCTTTTTGTCATTCATTTCAGAACAATCTGAAGCTCTTTCGAGGTCCTTTTCACTTCACTAAAATCAGCTGTTAATAGTGTTAATCAGTTAGTCTGTCATTCTAAGTAAATTGACATTGACACTGTATCTAGCGTATAAATTGTACGCATGGTGATTATATTTTGATTTGCAATTTGACTACTATATTATTTTGGAATTAATTAAGGACACTGCTGTGCTGTAAAAATGCCGGATATAGAAATGTCTGGTATGGAAGATAGCTCCCAAGACGGTTCGATTACTAATAGTGTTTCAGATTCAGGAAAAGGGAATAAAGCATTGATTAAGAAAAAAACTAGGAAGCGAGGTATCATATATCTGTCCACTATCCCTCCTTACATGAATGTGGCTAAGATTCGTGAAATATTCAGTGAATTCGGCGAAGTTGGGAGGATATACCTGCAACCAAGTGCTAGTAAGTTTTTGAGGTTATGTTATTGTAATCTTTATTATGATGGTCTTTGGATTTTAGTTTTTGTATTCAAGCAAATCTAATATATATCTATGGGAAGGGACATCAGGTTAATTAAATCAACTATAATTTCAGTGGTGTGATTTATTTAACCTTAAACTGCCCAGACAGTCCTTGTGTTGTTTCTGTAATTTCTTGATGTATCTTTCTGATGGATTTTTTAAACAACATCATTAGGTATTATATTAATAGTAATAGATTACCTATTAGAAGTACCTGTAGCACTTATTTCCTGAGAAAAACTAGACATGCAGACAGTTCATTGTATTATACCTATCTTTTACAGAACCTGGAGAAAAACGCAAGCGGGTGCCAAATCAATTTACAGAAGGTTGGGTGGAGTTTCAGAAGAAAAAGATTGCCAAGTTGGTGGCAACAAAACTAAACAATACTAAGATTGGCACAAGAAAAAAGTCCCGATACTATGACATGATATGGAATATCAAATACATACCGAGGTTCAAATGGATACATTTGAGTGAACGACTTGCATATGAGAGGGCTGCACTAAAACAGAGGTTGAGAGCTGAAATATCACAGGCCAAGAAGGAGGCCCACTATTTACAAACAAATGTAGAAAAAAGTAAAAAAATGAAGAAAAACAAATCAGTTGAATCAACAATAAAAACAACTTTAAGTTAAATGCATTGTGGTTTTATTTTGGGATATACTATGGTATTTGGTTTGTCGCTAAGTGGTCTGGTTCTATTTCTGACTGAAGTTAACTCTTCCACTGATAATTTCTTCCACTCTCATCCGTTGATGTGATGTCAAAGGATCAGGCGTCAACTTCTGTACATACCGACGCGGGGGTATTGTGTGTGAAAGTATTCCTTGTGAAAATTCCCTGTGTACTCTCACACCATCCAGGGCATTTGTTTGCAGTTTTTCGAAACTGTGCAGTTCTTTCATAAACTGCCTGCGTTGTGCAATTTTAGCCCAATGATATCGGTGGCGGCAAACAACTCGACTGAAAATTTAATTAGTACACAGTTACAATCAATGTCTAGATGTATGCGTTTTTAGTTCTATGCCTATATTTCTTGATAGCAAAACATTTCTTGTACTTACTATGCCAAGGTCAATTTCGAGTAGGCAGGGTAAATGCTGACATCAGATCGCGCCAGCTCAGGGAACCCAGGGTACAAAGGAACACGTCTCTTTTTCTCAACATTTTGGGTTATCACTTGGCGCGACATTTTCACGATCCTTAAGAAGGAATCTATTATCTGGACGAGGCGAGGGCTAGGTAATAACAATTTACTATTGCTAAGGCATCGGTAATAACTGTTTGGTCGATATTTTGGCTTTCTGACAGTAAGTCATAAGTTCGGAAATAATTTAGTAGATAATTTTACCTATTGGAAATAAACAATGAGGTTGTTAAGTAAATATGCGTGTATTTTCTGATAAGGTCGAATATGATCAAGGAACATGGTTTAATACAATTTAAATGACTACATCTATGTCTAACTATCTCTAATATTTATTGTACTTTCTACACCAAGGCAATTCAGGTATTAAGTAGGTAAACACAAAGAGTAAAGTAAGTATAGGGGAAGGTAAACAACAGTTACAAGTAGATGAGGTGATAGTGTTACTAATTTAGGGACAGCTAAAAGATATAAATAAAGAAAACTTTAATTTTTATTCGAACAGGCCTCATGAATAACATTAAATGCTCAAATAAATAAGTAACAATTTTATTACATTAAAGGAACAAATCTCAAAATCATTCATAGAAAGAATTAAAATTCAAAATTAGATTCAGAAAGAAATAAATCGAATATAAATTAATAACAGTTTATTGATACAGCATTAATATTAAAACTACTCCACGGCCGAATGCAACCTTTGAGGTCTGTATTGCTTGGTGTCGACAGAAACATTTACTATAATGATTATTTACATAAGTATGGTTGTTAAGATGTGGCCGTCACGGCTGCAACTCTGCTCTTGCACACACAGTCATTGAATTCATTCACTAACACTGAACACAGAAGTGATTTGTTTGGATTTGTACTGTAGCACTGGAGAACCTGAAATTAGAGATAGAATTTTAAGTATGATGCACATTACTCAGTGGACAAAATAAAACTGCAATACAATATGTAATACAGAAGTAAATAATTATAAACATGCTGGTTTTACTGGTACATAATGAGGTGGAATGATTTTTGTATAATTCCTTAACACAGAGTTGATTGAATTTTCTTTATTGTGAAATTAAGGACTTGGAGAGCTCTCACTATCTTTGCCCACCCCTTTTCAATTAAAGTATTGTCACACTTTATTTACATAATGTCTTATGTTGTGCAAATTATATTTATATGAACTTTTAAATTAGATTGCATAGCAATTGGGGTTCCATAGTCTCAGCCAACCTACCTAAGGAAAACGGTGCCTTTTAGGTTAGCCAAATGCCACTTTAGCGCTGGTCTACAGAGAGAGAGAGAGTAGAAATCAAAATGTATGGGGATGACACTGACAAGCGTCAAAATTTAACATCAATTCCATATAATTTGGTTTTCTATTCTACAAGTAGAAAAGCGCTAAATGGCATTTGGCTACAGCTGCAGGCGTGATAGTTAAGTACCTATGTATGAACTGTCAAAATCAAGATTACTACTGGAAACATGCATTATAAGTCTCAAACCAATTTCATTATCAACCTTATCTAATCACTCACTACAATATTCCATTTCTTAGGTAAATTCAAACTTTTTAATTCAGTTTTCTGATGAACACTTAATATTACATATGTGGTAAACTATACCTTAGCCTTCTCCTCTTGGCAGGGTGGCAGTTTAGAGGCTACTTTGTCTCCTTCAACCATATTAAATAATTCAGTAGCTTCCTTCATTGTCTTTTGATATTCCAAATGCATTCCGCTGTTTATTTTCTCATGTGCCCTCTTTAGGTTTTCAATGCGGTGTGCCCAGTAGGCCTCCTCAGCAGCGTACTCGTGCTGACGTCGGTACTCATACGCAGGCGGTGTGTAAGATTGTACAGGTGGGGGTCTTGATTCAGCTTGCTGAAATTATATGATTTAGGTTGTTAAAATATTAAGACCTATTATGAGACACTATTTATGGTTCCTGGAAGAGTGTTTTTAGTCATACAAATTAACTTTACTAATTTATTAAATTACTTCAAATGAAAGAATGATATTATCACAGAATTATAACATAACTTGATTTGATGAAAGGCTGTTGTAAAAATTATTAGGTTTTTGGTCATTCAAATATTTTACTTATCAACAAGTGATTGTTTAAAACATTAAATAAAATTTACATAAACAAAGGTATGTAACATAATTAATGATTAGATATTGTCCTAGTGATAAATTCTCTCACAAGAAGGTATAAAGGACTATCATAAAAGAATTGTGATCTGTCAACATGAGAATGCTATCAGTCAGATGTTCCAACTTTCAAGCAGTCTTCTGATAACCTATAAGCTAAGTAATGATCGAGTAATGACACACTTGTGATCATGAAATTCATAATGATGGATGTAGGGACTAAAGCTAATTATTTACGATTTTTATAACAACAACACTCCTTTATTATGCCCTAACAAGTGATGACATTGATGAAAATTATGTAATGGAACATCATATTTACTTTTGCCGTGAGCTGAGATTGTATCCGGTCTAAAGCTTCCTGAGACACTTGGATAGCATTTTCATTATCAACAGTAACTTTTCGAGTGCTTTGAGAACCTCCCATGTTTATAAAAATGAACTATCCAAATAATTTTATCGGCAAATCACGTCAAAAAGACATTTTTTGACAGTTCAAACATTACCTACTGCTACCAAAGACTAGAGAGAAAACAAGTCAAAGATTAGTTTTATGATTTGTCAAGTACTGAAAAGGTCACTGCGTTACATTAGTGTTTATGGTAAAAAATTAATTAACTATATTTGGATTACTGAAACAGTAAAGCTATTAAAGTAATAAGAATATGCCATAATACATAAACCTATAATTTACAGAATAACTTAAATAAAGGATACAGATCACTAGATTAACAGAACAACACTACGCCAATGTGTCCTTGACTTAATGATTTAATACGATATGTAATAACAGATGGCACTACTTGTTAGAAAACTGAACAAGAACTTTCAGAATATGAATTGGGTAACGATTTCGTTGATATTTTTTCTACATACATATTACGGCAGTTACCCTTGCTATAATTATGAAATTAATTAACTTATATAGGTCCTCAGAATTCTCCTATTTTTTAATATCATGATAAAATTATACTTTTTGCCATAATATTTATTAATACCCAACTATGTAAAAGGATAATCTAAGGAGAGGTGGTACTCCTTTCCCATGCATCATTATTCCAGAAGGGAGGGTTATTTATTATTATGCATTTTGACAGGCTGGATCAATTGTTTTTTTTATGGATTAAGAGACAAACGAGCCGACGGATCACCTGATGGTAAGCGATCAGCGCCGCCCATGGACACCCGCAACATCAGAGGAGTCACAGGTGCGTTGCTGGCGTTTTAAAACGGAATACGTTCTTTTCTTGAAGGTTTGAAGGTCGTATCTGTTCGGCAATACCATTGTTAACCATTTTGCTCACCAGTTTTAGTATTCAAATTAAGATTTTTAAGTTCAGCAGTCAGTTTTGCTCCGTGATCCATAGTGGAAGTGACGCAGCTGATAAAATTTTATATTAAGTAGGTAAATGAGTTTACTTAGTGTAAGTTGGAATGTTTGAACGTCGAAGTTATGGAAAACATAATGTAATGTACATAATATTTTACTTAAGTAGCAATTATTAATTGACTTAAAATATAAAGCAATTAAAAATGAAATCAATTGACCACAAGGAATGGAGAACATTTTGGCGAAGGTAAAAAGCGGGTGTCGTGGGGCGCGGCGTGGTAGGTACAGATCACATAAAGCTACTCAGAACTGTCAAATTACTTCTATGGAGTTTCGATTTTAAAGTGAGGTGTATAAAGTTGAAAATGTGTTAAAGATTTTTGACAGTTAGTGGTAGGTTGTTGTGCGTGCGTTTTGTATAAAAACTGACCACAATGGGCGACCGGTTCGGCCGGTTGCAGCCTCCGAGCCTCAGACGCTATCATCCCGCCTCCGATGTACTTTCTTCTGTCTGATCGGAACGCGATACGGCTTGCCACCGTTTTTATAATATCTTTTTACGTAAGTTTTATTCTTCTTTCTGAATAATAGTTAGGTACTAATTAACATAACATCACGCCTTTAAACAGAACGCAAAGGTGCACATTACGGCACTTAATGCTACTGTATTGTAACACCTACTTTTACAATTTTTGTTAAGAATCTCATGTAACAGGGGTGAGCCTATTGCTAGGTACTATCTTCTAGGTAATAGCTAATAGTACTTAATGTATCAGTAATAGTGATACAAAACTTAGATGATTTCTTTAACAACTTTGTCTATAAATCAGTAGACTCCAATAACCTCTACATACGTGTACCAATGTGTAACCTTGGTTTATTGGTTTTACTTGGGAGGGTATAAATATCTTTATTTATAGGAATTTCTAATCGATCTGGAAGGCCTCCCGCCTATGTTTAGCAATGATTGTCTCGTGGCTAGTGTGATAATTGACTATATTATAGGACTAATACAAAAAAGGTAACACCTTTAAATACAGGGGATCATGATATTTAGTTCCATGAGTCTCATGTATACACGACTACACATCGAGCTTTACATAACCAGTATAAACTGAACGTTAAATGTGCGGAAAGATGATGCGACGCGACACCAGGATAAACTGGTTTTGTATAGATTGATGTGTAGCTGTGTCCTGTATCCACCGGGATGGTGGTCCTAGTCTATGCGTTATTAATAAAAAAATCCAACTTCAAAGAAACCAGACACCGTTTACCCAACTCAACCCAGAAATAACAATTTCATTTATAACCTGCATTGCAAGCCCAATCGCGTACTAGCCATCTCTCGCGCCGCTCATTTCTACACCAGCGCCATCTACTCGTACCATAAACACTGCGTTCTATAAATCAGTGTAACGTTCACAACTGTCACACATAGACGATTAATTACCGTGCTTTGTAAATGGTAATGCCCACGCGCTGTCATACTAGCCAGCATATGGAATTGAGAATTTAAAAGTAAACTAGGCTTTCGCTCGCTAATTTGGTCCACACACCTTTTACGGCTAGTTTAGGTAGATTTGCTTACTATAGATAGAATTTTTACAGATTTTTTACGGAGCTTGTGTTGAAATTAAGGTTCTGTCATGGATTTCTGAGTTGGAAAACTAATTGTGTCGTATTTCTTGGTACTTACATTGCAACTCTCATAAGCGCAGTATTAAATATGCACTTAAACAAGTACATCTCTATGTTCTAAATGTGTACTGCAACGTGTTCTGCACTAAATGTCTTGTTTTTGGGTACCTATCATTTGGAACATTTAGATCTTTTTTAAACATCTATCATAACATCATCATCATCTAGAACAACATGAGCTTTTAAATTTAACTCCAAGAATGAAATATGAACACATTTCTCGCGATATAATCTTAATAATATTCATTTTACACTTGAAGCTACATTACCAGTTTTAGCTATCTTATCACATTTGCCTGCAGACCTTAATTCATAATTACATTTATAATAAAGCCGAGAGTACAAGAGGCAGGTGAGCCGTCGTTCAGGGCGACAAGCTGACATACAGCTTAATTGCAATTTATGTGCATGAAGGAGCCGTGTGATACCTCCCAGGTAACCGGTACAACACTGCAAAACAAAATAACACCTATTATTATTAATAATTTTGATCGAAAACGTGACTTCACACCAAGTGATTACAACAGTTATCGTGTGTTTTCACACAAAACTGGATTTACAACGTAAAAGATAGGTCAGCCAGTTAGCTTAATGTTACTTTTTGTATATAAGTAGGCGAATTACTTAACAAATATAGCTAAGATACCTATGTCTTGTCGTTTAACAATAGAGTATAAAAGCGCCCAAACATCTGCACAATACATCAAAAGCTAAATGATAAAGCTAATTTGACATGGAATTCTTTGTATCCATTCGATCACCCATTCTGTTCAGAATCGATTCTTTACAATATATTTATGTTATTATGAGGAGCCCTGACGTCTAATAACAATCGATTTTCTACCTGCACGACTTTGCCCTGTCAGTGGTCGCATCTTCTCACTCCGCGATCAGAAAAGATTTACTAAAAACTCAATTTTCAACATCACATTTTTAACCCAAATCCCGTCTACCTAAAGTCTAAATTTGAACCACCGAAAAATACTATTTGTACAAAAATAACCAGTCATTGAAATCATCGAAGGGTCCGCTTTTAGACACAGGTGCTTGTCGGATAAAAAAAGGAAAAAATCTTTTGAAAAAGAGGTCCCGATCCCGGCAATTAATGGATTACGTATAAAATAAGACGCGTAAATGGGACCATAAAGATTGTAACGTCTTTCGCACCAGAGGTGTTCAACTTTGGTACATTTATTTATTCGAATATTTTTTTCTTTGAATGACAAAAAGGAATCGAGGACTAAGATGACTTGGGTAAAAATAAAATGTCACAGAATTCTCATTTGAAGAGTAAAGTAATCAGGAGTGGGGACTAAAGAAGGCTTTTTATTTTATTTTGTTTATACTAGTGATATACCTATTACCTATGCAGATATCTATATTTTAAGTAGATACCTAAATAGGAATAATAATAAATTTGTTGAGCGTAATATAACCTTGAGATGACACCTATTTCCTGTCGATAAAGTCGTAAATATGCAATACTTATTGTATAATAAATAAAAATAGCGAGGTGAACGAATTTTATGATTTTTTTTGTAAATCGACGAGACGAGATTTAGATATTTCCTTTTATTGATTGAAAAAATACATTATAATAATCTGCATGGATATACTTTTAGGTTATCTACTCTTGATTTGATTGTAAGATGTGTAGTCTCTGACTGAAGAACTATTGAACCTAAAAAAGTAAATCTTTACAATTTTAAGCAGGATTCAATTTTGTCAAGGTGTGTTTGATGTGGGTTATCAATATTGTATTTCATTTTATTCCTAGTGACTTCGTTTTGCGTTATTAACAAAAGTATTACTTTTATCATAAACCAGCTTCTGCCCGCGACTTCGTACGCGCAATCCCGTTTTCTCCCGTTCCCGTAGGATTTTCAGGACTTTTTCTGTCATAAGCACCCTTTCCTGACAATAATAAACACAACAAAAAAACAATCATCCAAATCGGTCTAGCCGTTCTCAAGTTATGGCGTGACAACGGGAAACGGGATTCATTTTATACTTATATATATAGATACATTGACTTGGTATTATTCAGGACGCTTCAGTTTCCGTCATATTTATTAAAAGCATTGCATTTCTTCAGGAGTTCGGAGAGGCACTAAGTTATTATACACGATAAGTCCATTGCACATCGTTCCCGTGGGTAGCTTACAATTTATAGACCGCGAGAGGTATGGCCGTCTCTATTCATTTATCAAACGCTGCGCTTCTGTGCTAAGAGAGCTGATGCTGAGGGCGCAGGTACACTGAGTTTTATAACTTAAAAATGATTAATGAATTTAGATGAAACAAAAGAGTCAGCTAGAAGTGTTTCTTTGTCTCTATCTTCTCATAAACCCAAGGATACACTAGGGGACAGATGTCCTGCGACACGTGTCGCCAGT